AATTTACCTGTAAACATTTGGTCTGGAGAATTTTCATGTGACTGAGGGCTGGGCCTCTGTCTTATCTTGCTTGGCTTCTCTCAGCACCTTGCTTGTTCCATCTTGCACACCCTCCATGCACAGTACCTGTTTCCTAATTGGTTGGAATTGATTATAATCAATTGATTTTTAACTGGCTGGATAAATAATTCATTTGGGGACCTTCCCTGTTTCCAGAAATCTGTTTGGTTCTGGGCCAAGGAATAGGTCCCTGTTGCTTGGGCCTGGGAGAGGGAGGGGTCTGTCTCCTTTCACCCTGGGTGTTCTCAATCAGAGAGGGAGGCGGGGAGATGAGGACTTCCTGGGCCCCAGCTCTGGGCCAGGCTCTTGCTGGATCTCTGTACGTGGTTTAATTCTCATCATCACCAGTGCGCGAATGAGGACGCTGAGGCTCAGGGTCATGAAGTAACCGGCTTCAGGTGACTCAGAGAGTGAGTGACAAAGACAGACTGTGGACCCAGGTCTTAAGTTATTTATGAAACTTTAAACTAAATTTGATTATTATTTTTTTAACCGGTATGTTCCCTGCTGACTCCAAAGGCTTTAGCTTGGATCTGAGCTGCCCATTGAACTGACTTTCAGGGTTTGGTCCACTCTTGCCGCCCAGGCTCTCCATAGCACTCAGGGAAAGTTCTGGAGGTTGTTAAAGCCTGTGGCTGGAGAGTCTCCACTCCTTTCACTGCTCAGGAGAGTGTGGTGGCTGATGCCTTGGCCCTGGGGTCTGGCTCCACCACTAGCCCCACCACCTCCAAGCTCAATGCCCTGGGCCTGTAGCCAGGGCACATGCTAACTTTCACTTGAAACTTTGGAAAACTGAAAGTTGGGAAAGGCTTTGGGGAGAAGGTATTGTGGCATGGCCCCTGAGGACCAAGGTGGGATTCTCTTGAGTTGCACCTTACATTCCCAGAGTGTGTTTTGGACCCTTAGGGGCAGAGTCTGCTGGGGAGCAGCCTGCCGTGGATTCAGTGGAGGAGGAGAGTCACTGTGCCACTTAACATTGGGTCCTTGAGCTTTAGGAAAAGCCCCAGCAGGTTGACACTCAAAGGGACGCGAGCTCTCAGGGCTCCAGCCTCTGTGTCTTCACAGATGTGAGCCCCGAGGCCCAGCTTGGTGGATGAGCTGTACCGCAAGGCGCAGACACACGTTGGTGCAGATTCCGGCCCCGCCACGCGTGTCCCGGGCGACTGCGCAGAAGTGGCTTGACTCTGCTTTTCAGTCTCCTAGTCTGTGAAACAGGGCTGACCCCATCACCCTGCAGGGTGCAATCAGGATTAGAGCTCCTGTAAGTCAGGGGTCTCATACAGCGCCCCAGAGTATGCTTGCGCTCTCAAAACAGGCCACTGTAGCTGCTGTGAACAGTTAGGCAACTCTGCCCTGGCAATGTCCCCGGAGACCAGAACCACTTGTGTCCTGTGTAAAGCAGCCTGGGGACCCACAGGCCATGCTCCTGTCAGGCATTCACCTTCCTGTTCTTCAGAGACACCTGCGGTGGCCGGCCTTGACCAGGCAGCTGGCTGTGCCCTGCAGAGGCATTCCTTGACACAGATATGTGCGTGGTGGTGTCGCGTTCCGGCCAGGTGTTCTTTCCAGGAGGCCTGCATGTCTGGCTCCTGCATGCCTGCACTCGCCCCTCTCCCTGCCCCGCTCCCGGACCTGGCCTGGGCTACTTATAACAAACAAAAGCAGGATATTGGCAGTGGAGAGGAGGACATATTTGGTGCTCCCATGCCCTGCAGCACACATACCATGGCAAGGGTGTAACAGGGCCTGGCTAACAGTTGGTGCAGGTTCATCTGCCCCAGCTTTCCTCCACCTCAGACAGGAGAGGGGCGGGCAGGGCCCAGTGACCGGGAGCCACGGAACCCCAGTGCTCCCACCTGGACCACAGGTGCTCGCCAAGCCCACAGTGTTCACTCTGGAAATGTTTGCTGAGGGCTTACTCCGAAGGCCCTTTGCACGGTGCTGAGTCTCGCAGGGGTGAGTGGGACGCTGCTCCTCTCCTCAGTGAAGGAAGAAGGCAGGTACCCAGATGCTTTCCATCAGAAGGTGGGAGCACGAAGGAAGGCCCTGCCCCTGGTGCCGGCCCCACGCTGGGCATGTCACCACCATCAGAACTGAGTTCTGTCCTCACTGCTAGCCTGGAAATAGGTGATGTTGCCACTTCAAGATGAGGAGCCGCTGGCCCGAGATCAGCCGGGGGCGGGGCGGGGGGAGGTACGTGGTACTGAGATTTGAGCCTTGGATCATCCAGGGGAAAGTCTAATCCCCTCAGTTTACAGGTGGGGAGACTGAGCCCAGAGAGGGAGAGGGGCTTGTCCAGAGACATTTGGTTCCTAAGAACCTGAACCCAGTGTCTCCTCCCAACTCAGAGCTCGGGTGAAATTGTGCCTTTTACTTTGAGAGGGGCTGGAGCTGCATGCCCAGAACGGGGTCTTCCCCTCTACCTCCTGTAACTTGTGGTCTACACTGAGCCATTCTGGGCACTTCACATCCATAGTCGTCTACCTGAAATTCAGCATCCAAAGGACAAATGAGAAACTCTAAGGGTGGGTGGCTGATGGCAGACGCCCCCATCTCGGCCTCTCCCCCTTCACTGTTAATCAAGTGTTGTTTAGATTTTCTCTTCCTCAACTCATTATAAGCTCTTGGAAGTGGAGGAGGGGACCCTGTATAATCTATCTATTCTATCTGCAGCGCCTACCAATTTACTACCAAGTTACTCTAAGAACACACTTGCTTTGCCCTTCACAGTTTGCAGAAGACTTTCCTCTTTATTAACTTACTTGTTCATAGTGGCTCTTTGTAGTAGATGCTGTTAGTCACATTTTATCAGTGAGAAAAAGCTAGTAAGAGAAGTTGTCCAAAAACCACCCAGCTAATGGCAGTAAGTGGCCGATACCATGAGTTTCCATTATCATCATCACCCAATAGCAGTGGACACTACAGCATTCCTACAGTGCTAGGCCTTTTATATAAGTTGTCTGTTTTAAAAAATATTTTTGGCCCTGCCACACAGCTTGTGGGATTCTAGTTCCCCGACCAGGGATCGAACCTTTGCCCCCTACAGTGGAAGCACAGAGCCCCAACCACTGGACTGCCAGGGAAGTCCCAAACTGCCTGTACTTTAACACGTATTATTTTATCGTCGCAGTGGTCTATCTTACAGATAAGGAAGCTGGGTCAGAGAAGTGAAATAACTTGCCCAAGATGACATAACTAGTAAGCGGCAGGTCAGGATTCAAACCAAGAGCAGCTCCACCCTGCCTCTCAGAAAGCAAGGAAAGTGTGGGTGCCGCAAGACCTCGACGACAGGAACAGAGTCTGCTAACTAGGAAGAGGGAGGTGGGACAGGCTTACCTGACCGAGGAGCTCTTAGCTCGAGGTGCCAGGGTCAGACGTGAGGATGATCGCGTGTGTGTAGACATGACCCCAGAACACTCCCAGCCTGACCGAGTGTGGAGCTTCACAGCTCAGTGACTGGAGGAGAAAGGAGCTCTGGGGCTCACACGCATGTGTTACATGGTGCTGGTGGAGATTTTCTTCCCCTCATTATTTTATTTTGAAAAATTTCAGATATATAGAAGAGTTGAAAGACTAGTTGAAAGAACACTCATATATCGTTCACCTAAGATTCATCACTTGTTAAGTTTAAGCCACTTTATATGTCTGTATACACACATACACAGTTTTATTTTTTACTTATTTACAAGTAAATTGCAAATATCTTGACTCTCCTCATGACTTTACTATTTTTCTTCTACAGATTCTTCTATATAGCCAAAGTATTGTTGTTGCATCTAAAAAATTAACAGTAATTTTACATTATAGTCTAATGTATAGTCAAAATTCAAATTTCCTCAGTTCCAAAAATGTCACTCTTGTTGTCTGTTTTCGTTTTCAATCCAAAGTCAGACCCAAGGTTTAGGTGTTGCATTTGGGAGTTTCCGAGTCTCTGGGCTTTCCTAGTCCCCGTGCCTTAACTTTTTAAAAGAGAAAAAAACGGTTTCTTGTAGAACGACCTCCCCTTCCTGGATTCGCCTGACTGTTTGCATACGCTTAGGCCTTCCCTGGTGGCTCGGACTGTAAAGCGTCTGTCTGCAACGCGGGAGACCTGGGTCCGGTCCCTGGGTCGGGAAGGTTCCCTGGAGAAGGAAACGGCAACCCACTCCAGTATTCTTGCCTAGAAAATCCCATGGATGGAGGAACTTGGTGCAGGCTACTGTCCATGGGTTGCAAAGAGTCGGGCACAGCTGAGCGGCTTCCCTTTCCCTTTCTCTTTCTATACACTTAATTTATTTTTCTCAGGGATGCCACATCAGTCATGCTGTCGGAGATGGGTAGGTTTTGAAGAGTGGAGGTCACTGAGCTTCTTTGGTTCATTGAGGTGTCAGTCTAGACCAGAAGTTCTTAACTGGCACGTGAATGGGCTTCAGTCCTATGACATGTACCCCATACCTAAATTACATGCACATTTTCCTCATACGTGTATTTTTCTGGGAGAGGCTTCTTGTTCAGTCGCTAAGTCATGTCCAGCTCTTTGCAACCCCATGGAGTGCAGCACACCAGGCTTCCCTACCTTCCACTGTCTCCCAGAATTTGCTCATTTCCCTTGAGTCGGTGATGCCATCCAACCATCTCATCCTCTCTGTCACCCACTTCTCCTCCTGCCCTCAATCTTTTGCAGCATGAAAGTCTTTTCCAGTGAGTTGGCTCTTTGCATCAGGTGGCCAAAGTATTGGAGCTTCAGCTTCAGGATGAGTCCTTCCAATGAATATTCAGGGTTGGTTTCCATTAGGATTGATCAATTTGATCTCTTTGCAGTCCAAGGTACTCTGAAGAGTCTTCTCCGACATCACAATTCAAAAGCCAAGAGGTTTCTTGGCTCTTATCAAATTATCAAATTCTCCAAGGGCTTCAAGACCCAAAAAGGTTTAGGTTTCTGTTCTTGCCGTGCTTTTCAGGTGTTCTGAGTGCCAGGATTCCCTCACCAACTGGTACTACGAGAAGGATGGGAAGCTGTACTGCCACAAGGACTACTGGGGGAAGTTTGGGGAGTTCTGCCACGGATGCTCTCTGCTGATGACGGGGCCCGTCATGGTGAGTCCATCCCTCCATCTCTGCCCCCTCTGTTGTCAGAGTTCATTGGCAGTGCCTCCGGTTCCCTGTGGCCATTCACCTTCTGTCTTCCCATCAGCCGAGGCCTCTCCCTTTATTTATTCAGTCACTTAACAGATGATTTTAGGACCTATTAAGTGCCAGATATGATCTGTCTCTCAGAGACTTAACAGTCCAATGTTGGGAGGGGTGGGCAGGCAAGAAGGGGAGACAGTGAGATGGGATGGGGCCCCAGAGGGGAGCATGAGCCTTCCTCCTGGGGACGATGACTTCTGGGGGCCTGTGCCCACGGCTGAGACTGAGAGTTTTCTTACAATCTCAGAAATAACAGGGAGGGACTTCCCTGCTGGTCCAGTGGTCAGGACTCATCGCTTTCACTGCCAAGGGCCTGGATTCAGTCCCTAGTTGGAGAACTAAGATTCTGCAGGTCACACAGTGTTGACAAAAAAAAAAAAAAAAGAAAGAAATGACAGAGAGGCACCAATCCAGCCCTTTCTCTGGAAGCTCTGGGATGGGGAGGGCAAAGGTCAGTGATGACTGGGCAGGGATGGTCTGTAGATCCCTGATGGGAGGCCCCTCACGCACCCCTCCCTCCACTCCAGCAACAGTGACAACTCATTTCCTCCCCACATCTGTCCACCCTTCTCCCCACCTGCCCACAGGTGGCCGGGGAGTACAAGTACCACCCAGAGTGCTTCGCCTGTATGAGCTGCAAGGTGATCATTGAGGATGGGGACGCATATGCCCTGGTGCAGCACGCCACCCTCTACTGGTAAGATGGTGGCCCCATGTCCATCCTTCCCGACAAGAGTGGCTGAGCGAGAGGGGGCAAGTGGCAGTGTGAATCGGGCAGAAGGACTGCTGGGGTCTTAATGCATTGATGATATTCCTGTCCCAGCGTTGGCTCTTGACCAGCTCTGAAAGCTGTGAGCAAGACAATGAACATCTTTGCCCCCTGTCCTCACCTATTGGCGGAATAAGCATACTGCCCTGCAGGCCTCCCAGAGGGAGACGATGGCTGGGAGGGGGCTCTCGGAGAAGGAGCCCAGGATGTTAAAGGCAAAGGCCCCTTAGAACTCACTCAGCCCAACTGCCTCAGTCGACGGAAAGTCAGGCTGAGGCCCAGTTCTTACCTTAAGTCAGTGGCAGAGGGAAGAGAACCCAGGCTGCTCATTCTGAGCAGCCAGCTAGAATCGGGCAAGGGCAGTGAATGTTGGGCTATGCACTCTGTCGCTGGAAGGCACGTTGTTGCTGGGGGCTTCCAGGTGGGGCTCCAGGATCTCAGCCCCCTTTCCACTCCTCCCCGCAGTGGGAAGTGCCACAACGAGGTGGTACTGGCACCCATGTTTGAGAGGCTGTCCACGGAGTCCGTCCAGGACCAGCTGCCGTACTCCGTCACACACATCTCCATGCCGGCCACCACCGAAGGCAGGCGGGGCTTCTCCGTGTCCGTGGAGAGTGCCTGCTCCAACTACGCCACCACTGTGCAAGTGAAAGAGTGAGTGCCGGGGTGGGGGTTCTGGAGCGGAGCACACAGGCAGGCCTCGGAGCCCCAGCATCTTAGCAGAGACCCCGCATCCACATCGCGTCTCTTCTTCCTGGGCCCACTGTACTGTCACCACGCCTGGGCCCTGGCACTGACTGCCCTCACCCCCCACGCGACTGCTTCCCACCAGATACCTAACACCAGAGCCGCTCACCTTTCACGGGTCAAGTTTCAGATCATGTTTGCTCTTTGAAATTATCTGGCTTGGTTATGTCTGTTTATCATCTGTCCTCCTCACAAGTTCCCTATGGAACTTAGTCTGGTTCATTGCTGCACACCCAGGGCCTGGAGCAGTGCCTGGCACATAGTGGGTGCACATGGATTGTTTCACTGGTTGAGTGAGTGAATGAGGAAGGAGGAGAAAGAGGTAAAGGCTCCATGCTGTGTCCAGGCCGGCACCCAGATGGGGAAAGGGTCTGTCCATCTAATACCAGTCGTGAGGCACTGTGGCTCCCAGCCCTATAGATGGTGATCATGTGCTACTGTGTGCCGGTTGCTGGGTGCTCACAGCAGAGGTAGGGGGTCCTGGGGCTGGGAAGTCAGAGGGAGGTGAGGTCTGCTCTAAGCCTGGAGCTGTGTTCAGGACAGAGGTGGGAGCCTGTGGCTGTGTCTGGGGTAGGTTGGGTGGTTGGGAGGAGCCAGAAGGGGCCTGTTAAGTCACAGAGGGCCTGGGTCATGAGGATCCAATGGGTCTCTTGAGGGATTTAAGCAACAAGGTGACACGATCAGGTGAGTGTTTTAGAAGCATCGCTGCTGTGGAAGTGGGACAGGAGAGGGGCAAGCCTAGAGGTGCAGAGACCAGTTAGGAGGCTGATGCACGGTGCCAGAGAGGGGTGTTGGCAACCATGATGACGGAGCATTCTTCAGGACGTGAGGATTGGGGGGCAGCGAGGGAACTCCCGAAGTGGAGAGTGCCGTCTAGGCTTCAGGCTTAGGCCTCTGGGTGAGTGGGATGCCCTTCACTGAGATGGGGTGGGGCCTCTCCCTGAGTGGCCTGGGCCTTGGGGGCCGGCCGGGGCCCAGGGCCTGATGAGCCCTGCCTGCACCAGTGAGATGGGTCAGGCCGCCTGAAGGTTCCTCTGCTCCGCCTTCTCTTGTCTGGCCCAGGGTCAACCGGATGCACATCAGTCCGGACAACCGCAATGCCATCCACCCCGGGGACCGCATCCTGGAGATCAACGGGGCCCCCGTACGCACACTCCGCGTGGAGGAGGTACTGTGTGTCCTCAGCGGGGGTGGTGGACCATGAACAGACCCTTTTTGTCTTGCCACTGGGCCTGTGAGCACTGGTGACCCCCTCTGTCGGCCTGGCTTGTTCCCAGGGTAGCAGGGATGGCTGGCCAGGTGGGGAAACTGCCAGGCTGTGGGCAGAGGGCACAGTGTGGCCAGTGGCCACCGGAGGCCACAGCGGGCTCTGGTCCTCTGGCCTGACAGTGGGTGGGCCCGCCTCACACTGCTCCCGGCCGCAGGTGGAAGACGCCATCAGCCAGACGAGCCAGACGCTGCAGCTCCTGATCGAGCATGACCCTGTCTCCCAGCACCTGGACCAGCTGCGGCTGGATGCACGGCTCTCTCCCCGCGCGCAGAATGACAGACACGTGCACACCCTCAGCCCCCTGGACACCAAGGAGAACCTGGAGGGGACACTGAGGAGACGCTCCCTGAGGTGCCCCGTCCTGCCCTGGCTCTGTGCTGCCTCACACCCAGCTCTCGGACGAGTGGAGCTGGCTCTCTGAGGCCAGCAGAGTTAGGAAGGGAGCCAGCTGGCCAGGGGCAGGCAATGAGGATTGTGCTGACCCAGCGCCCCCCGAGGACAACCGTTCTTAGCCAGGGCCCATGCGTGATCTGACCCAGCTCTCTGCCAGCTTTCCCTGGAAACCAGAATGTAGTTGCTAAGTCATGTCCGACTCTTTGCGACCCCATGGACTGTTCCCTGCCAGGCTCTCCTGTCCATGGGATTGTCCAGGCAAGAATACTGGAGTAGGTTGCCATTTCCTTCTCCAGGAGAAGCCAGAGGGTCAGGCCCTGTCCACTGAACTCTGAGCTGGGCAGGAAGCAGCGGTGCTGGATCCCAAAGGGTAGCAAGGCCTGTGGGGAAAGCGTGGGGTGCCGAGGCTGGACACGGGGCACAGATAAGTGTGGATAAGGACGTTGAAAACCAGAAAGAGAGATGAATGCACAAGGGGGGACCAGAAATCCCTTCTTCAGGAAGTCAGAGTGACAGTCACCAACGATCGGCTTCTCTTTAATAGTGTTACAAACAGTGGCTTTTTTGCTGTAAAAATCATATGCGCTTATTAAAGTCCAGGAAATGCAGGCAGGTACTACAAAGATGTCCCATTTGCTCCTGTTTGGGGTGGTATTGGGCTGTTGCTCTAAGCCAGTCGGGGCCTTAAATCAGGCAGACATGGAAGGTGGTAGATTCCCATCAACCCATTGACAGTGTTGCCCGCTGGTGGAGTCTAGTCCCTCACTCCAGGTGAGAGGTGCTCAGGGTTCCCGCTTTGCGGGTGGTTTTCCATTGCTTACACAGACTCCGGATGTCTGCCGCCCCCGGACGACACCACTGTTTGATGTCAGAGTCCCTTTCCCCCGTCACAGCACCCTGGCTGCAGACATTGTAAAGACCGGGGTGGCCCTGAGGTTCCTGCCTCCAGGCTTCCGTGCTGGGTCTCTGAGGCCTGCCCCGTCCCCACCCTCATCCGTCCTCCTCCTCCACAGGCGCAGTAACAGCATCTCCAAGTCCCCCGGCCCCAGCTCCCCCAAGGAGCCGCTCCTGCTCAGCCGTGACATCAGCCGCTCAGAGTCCCTGCGCTGCTCCAGTAGCTGCTCACAGCAGATCTTTCGGCCCTGCGACCTGATCCACGGCGAGGTCCTGGGGAAGGGCTTCTTCGGGCAGGCCATCAAGGTGAGCGCCACTCCACCCTGCTGCCCCCCCCAGCCCTCGCACCCGCCTCTGGGGATTTCTCATCACCTGCCCTCCCAGGCCACCTGAAGGCAGCATTGCTCCTGGTGTGAGCTTGGGGGACCTGGAGCCCCGGGTGGGACCAGGTCGCCTGTGGCACCCCCATCTCCGGTCAGTGAGTGTTTCTAGGTGCCCAGAGGCCTCGGTGTGGGAGTGGCTCCTGCCTCCCTGCTGAACAGTCTCAGGGACTAACCTCTCTCTCTCTCTCTCCTCCTCCTCCTCTGCTGAGAGCTGGGAGGGGGGGTCAGGTAAGCCATGTGTCTCAGCCTTGGGGGCCATGGGGCTGGAGAGCTTCCTCCCAACCCCCCAGCTCCCTGGTGCATGTCTGTGGCACTGACCCTCTTGCCCCCCAGACTCCTGTTCCCCGAGAGACACGCTCCTGGGCCAGATGACCAGAATCCCCGCTTGGCTTGGCAGCACCCTTCCCCCCGCTCCCCCATCACGTCCCTTTTGTGGGCTCTCGCCTCTCCTCTGTGCATGCCCAGCTCTCCAGGGAGAAAGCTGTGCTCCCGTCTGGGGCCCGTGCTGTGTGCTCCGCACTTGATCTGTCAGTCTGGTCCGGCCGATGACTTCAGTGTGTCCTCCAGGGGATGGGATGGCCAGCGGCAGATCTGCGCACAGCTCCCCGGAAGGGCCTCTGTTCTCTGCGCCAGTGACAGTCACCCTCCTTTTAGGTGACGCACAAAGCCACAGGCAAAGTGATGGTCATGAAGGAGCTGATCCGGTGTGATGAGGAGACGCAGAAGACGTTTCTAACTGAGGTAGGAAGCGGGGTGGGGGCTAGGAGTTTGTGTCACTGTTGAAAGGGGGAAATTGATGCTAAAGAATGACTTCAATCCCAGCTTTCGGCACCAAAAAAAAAAAGAAGAAGATTTGAAAAGGAAGCTTAGTTTGGAGTCGTCACTTTCTTAAGGCAGACCATTAGAGGAATGTCCCTGCCCCCCATGTAAATGGCGGCACATTATTTGTACGAAAAACACTGAGGACAGCACGAGCCGGTACAGTGAGCTGTGCTTCATGGAGCTCGTGGAGTGTGGGGTGAGCACGGACGCTTTAGAGCGGCTCGACGCCGGACACCGCGCCGGGCGAGCCTGACGCCTTGGTGTCCTTGCCCCGCTGCCCCACAGCGTGCTGCCCTCCTGGTCTCCGCCTCACTCTGGGGCCCTGCCTCTCCAGTTCCCCAGATGTAGCTCCTAGAAAGGCAGGGTCCCAAGCACGAGGCCTGGGAGGCTGTCCCCATCCACATGGGTGTTTCTTCCCCAGCACCCGAGACAGAAGCAGGGAGACACGGGGCATGTGTGTCACACTGACTCCCCGGAGGGAAGGGGTGCGGAAGCAACCGGGCCCCGCCCTCGTGGCCTCCCCGCCCTGCAGGTGAAGGTGATGCGCAGCCTGGACCACCCCAACGTGCTCAAGTTCATCGGCGTGCTGTACAAGGACAAGAAGCTGAACCTGCTGACGGAGTACATCGAGGGGGGCACGCTGAAGGACTTCCTGCGCAGCGCGGTGAGCGCAGCACCCCCAGAGCCCCGAGAGCCTTGGGGCTCGTCAGTGGGGCCCCTGTGTCACCGCTGCTGTGGAGCCACAGCGGTCGGTCAGGGAGACCCGCCGCCTTGCCTCCAGAGGGCCGTGTGGGGTGGGACTGGGCACAGGCAGGGAGGGTCTGCATGGATCCCGTAGAGCCACGGGGCCTGGACCAGCAGCAGAACAAGGCCCAGCGGCCTCTGACGGGACTTCCTCCATCCTGCAGGACCCGTTCCCCTGGCAGCAGAAGGTCAGGTTTGCCAAGGGCATCGCCTCGGGAATGGTGAGTCCTGCCGACAGCCAGCAGAGTGGGTCTGGGAGAAGCTGGGATAGGCATCTGCTGAGGCCGGCACGTGGCTGCTCAGGAAGGGTGAGCAGAGACGAGAGAGCGGCTGACATCGAGGAGGCCAGGAGGGGGCAGGCGGCACAGGAGAGGTGTGGGCGCCCCCTGAGGAGGGGCGGCAGGCAGGTTGGAGCATGTGAGCAGCCCCAGGAGCCCAAGGGAGGGACCGGTGTTGCGGGTGGGTGTTGGGGGGGTCCTTCCACTCTTACTGAGGAAGGGAAGGGAAAGGAAGTGACTCCTGCGTGATGACAAGAGCCAGAGGCGGAGGCCTGGATGGGGAAATAGCAAATGTAGACTAGTTTGGACACATGAGAGTAGGAAGAAGGAGAGGTTAAAGTCAGGGCGCTGAGATAAGATGCGGTACATACACACAGTGGAGTATGACTCAGCCACGAAAAGGATGAAATAGGGCCATTCGCCACTGTGGACGGACCTAGAGATTGTCACACTGAGTGAAGTAAGTGAGACACAGAAAGACAGACACACGACCCCGCTTCTCTGTGGAATGTAAAGAAGTGGTGCAGATGAACTTGTGCACAGAAGAGAAGCAGAGCCACAGGGGGGAAAACAAGCTCGTGGCTGCCACGGGGGGCGCCGGGGGGGGGGATAAATTGGGAGGGTGAAACCAACATGTGTACACTGCTATATGTAAAACGGGTCACTATTAAGAATGTACTGAATAGTACAGGGAAGTCTTCTCAGTACTCTGTAATGACCTATACGGGAAAAGAATCTAAAAAAGAGTGGATATATGTATATGTGTAATTGATTCACTCCGCAATACACCTGAAGCTAACACAGCATTATAGATCAACTACACGCCAATAATTTTTTTTTTTTTAAGTGAGAGTGCTGAATGCTAACCACTAGACCACAGGGAAAGTGTGGACCGAGAGGGAAGTGTGTTGGGAGCACAGATCCAGCTGGGCCAGGAGGTGGCCACTTCCCCTTTCACAGCAGGAAGGATCCAGGGTGGCTAAAGCCAGAGACTGGGTGGGGGTGGCCTAGATGTGAGTAAAGTAGCTGGGGGCGGGGGGAGCTCACCGGGGCCCGGGGAGTCGGGAACTTGAGGACAGAGCAGCCCCTGGGTTGGGATCGGTGAACAGAGGCTGCTGGGCAGGAGATGGCGGCAGGGAGAGGGGAAGCCATCGACTTCCGTTGACACTGGGACGAGGAGTGACGGCAGGAGGGTCCTGGAGTCCAGGTTGGGTTCTGAAGCTGGCATGGGGGGTGGGAGTGTCCTGGGGGAACAGCGGGTTTTGGGGCCCCCAAGGCTCAGAGTCAGCTTCCAGCCGATTGACTGGTGGTGGGCCTCACTCAGCTCCTACCTCTGGTTCCAGGCCTATTTGCATTCCATGTGTATCATCCACCGGGATCTGAACTCGCACAACTGCCTCATCAAGCTGGTACGTGCCCCCAGGGCGGCCCTCCTGGCTCCCTTGTTGCCAGCAGGAATGCCTGGCCCCTCTGGCTTTGGACCAGGGGTATCGCCTCGGGCTCCTGTCTGCTGGGGGATCCCCGCACATGGCAGACAAACCCCACCTCCTCCCAGTAGCAGCCTCTGAAATCCTGTGGTTGGAAGGGACTTGAAGTTCCTCAGCTGTTTGTAGAGCCCCATCACTTTTCCTGGTTTTGCCCTGTGTTCGGGAAGACAGCTCCCCAAGGACCCCATTTTGCAGCTGTGGCACCTGAAGCCTCGGGGCGAGGCCACAGAGCTACCAAATTCACAGGGGCGGGTTTGGGGCAGCCTCCGTCTCCACGGGTGGTCACCTCTGCTTGTCACAGTGTTACTGCTGTAGACTTGCAGTGTGGCTTCCTGGGTGTCCACTCACTGGCCCTGGCCATGCCCTCTGGACTCACACCAAACAGTCTTAATCCCTTTTCCACATGACTGCCTTGTAGCTATTTGAAGAGCTTATCTCCCCTTCACCCCCCACCCCCACGGAAGGCCTGTATCTTGTCTTTTTCTGTCTTATCCTGGTTCCAGCTTTAAATCTTTCTGAGAACAAGGCAGGACGAGAAAAAAAGCAAAACAAAAGAAATCCTCTCTCCTGCCTCTTGAGTTCCACTCTCCAAGTCCCAGGCTCCAGGGCCTCTGCTGAGAACACCCTCTAGGTCTGGGGGTGTCTGCCCTGCAGAGCACGCAGACTGAGAAAACACCACGCCCCGTATGTCAAGACACCCCTTGGTCATCCGCCTCTTCTCTCCTTCTCTTGGGACTGTCCCGTCCCCGCCCCGTCGTCCCCCGCCCCCCAGGGCTGACCTGACCCTTGTGCTCTCAGGACAAGACCGTGGTGGTGGCTGACTTCGGGCTGTCACGGCTCATAGTTGAGGAGAGAAAAAAGCCCCCCGTGGAGAAGGCCACCGCCAAGAAGCGTACCTTACGCAAGAGCGACCGCAAGAAGCGCTACACGGTGGTGGGGAACCCCTACTGGATGGCCCCCGAGATGCTGAACGGTCAGTCCTGCTGCCCTGGAGAGGAGGTTGGGGCCGCGTCTCCCAGCAGAGCCCCAGGGTGGGTAGACCAGGTACCTGAAGCCGGGGGTGCACAGTTTTCATCTCGTGCCAGACTGGACCTTGAAGACGCCTTCCTCCCTGAGAGCAGGCCTGCAGGCTGGCTGGTGCCCTGTCCTGGGCCCATGCTGAAGTCTGACTTCAGCTCCTGTGCCCCAAGGGGTAGCTGAGCGCTCAGGCGCTTTCCTGCCTGTTCTCTCTGTGCTGAGAACTGAAGTGTGCCGCCCCCTCGTGGCTGAGGCGCAAACCAGCCAGAGATGCCGGCCGGGACTCCTGAGCCCGACAGGGCCGTGAGACCGCAGAAGTGGTCCACTGCAACTCTTTCTGAGGCCTTCAGCGCAGAGAGCACACAGGAGGCAGTGTCAAGAGTCCAGGCGCACCCTGGCCCAGTTCTCTCTCAGTGTCCTATGCGGCTTCACCCTGGGCAGTGTTGTTTCATGGGCTCTCTCTGAGACTGCCTGAGGAGCGGTGGTTTTCAGATGGGCCCGTCCCCGCAGCCTTAGCGGCACCCCCACAGCACCTCTCCTGGCCCTGGCTCTTGGCTCTGACCTGACCTGGCTGCAGACTCAGTGCAGAGCAGAGACAGGACCAGACCTAACAGCCTGCTCTCCCGTGTTTCCGAAGGAAAGAGCTACGACGAGACCGTGGACGTCTTCTCTTTTGGGATCGTCCTCTGTGAGGTGAGCCCCAGCGCGGAGGCCAGGCCTGAGGCAGCAGACCTGGCAGCCCGGCCCCCGAGTCAGAACGGAGGCTCCTCCTCCTAGGATGAGTAGTGCCACAGAGTCAGCAGGAGCGGAGGGCCGTGTCTGTTATCACGGGTCTTTGGACACATTCGAGTCTTGCTGTTTTAAAAATATCGTTCACTCTAACGGAAATCAGTTGAGCATCTACTGTTTGCAGAGCCCTGAGCTGACGCCAGAGGGCTTCAGACATGAATCAGAGTGCCTCCCTTCTCAGGGCCCAACTCCAGCAAGAGACTCAGACAGAAGAGGACTGAGCGGGGCGGGGTGGGGCCGTGTGGAAGCCGCCCCTCCAGAGGCCGGTCGGGGCTCCTCCAGACCCTCAGTGAGCAGACTCTCAGTCAGGAGACAAGCTTGCATTAGCAAGATATGGAGAGACGGGAGGGTGCAGCCCTCTCAGCTCGTTTTTTACCTCCTTCCTCTTCTGTTTATTTGTGTCTGGCCTCAGTTAAGGCACGTAGTCTTCCCTTGAGTCGCATCTCTAGAGCGCAGGCTCAGTGGTTGTGGCACACGGGCTTGGTTGCCCCACAGCATGTGGGATCTTAGTTCCCTAACCAGAATTGAACCTGCGTCCCTGCATTGCCAGACGGATTCTTAACCACTGGAGCACCAGGGAAGCCCCCCTGCCTCCCGCTTCTGACCATCCCTCCTGTCCTGTCCCCGCACCAGCAACCCCCTCCCCCACCACGTGGCTGCACCGTCCCTGACCACTGTCTTTCCACCTGCAGATAATCGGGCAGGTGTATGCAGATCCTGACTGCCTGCCCCGAACACTGGACTTCGGCCTCAACGTGAAGCTCTTCTGGGAGAAGTTTGTGCCTACAGACTGTCCCCCAGCCTTCTTCCCCCTGGCCGCCATCTGCTGCAGACTGGAGCCTGAGAGCAGGTTGGAGTCCACTCCCCTCACCCAGCCCGCATTCTCCTGGGATGCTCGCCCCGGTCCTCAGCCATCACCACGCCATTCCCAGGGGGGTGGTAAAAGCCTTGAGCTCGAGGATGTGGCCATCAACCACAGAAGCCACCCGACGACCCCAACGTGTCAGTTGGCAGGGAGGAAGACAGGGGTGTTGTAGCAAGTGACCCAGAAGCAGCGTTAAACCTTAACAGCAGGAAATTCACCCCAACCTGTATATCATGTAAACCTGTATACCATGCTAACAGTGCATTCAAGTTTCCGTATTCCTATGTCCATGTCCAAACACATTTTTTTTTATAGAGTTATCATAAGTAGAGAAAAGTTTGACATTTTGCTTTGCATTTTTGTCACTACCCAGTATTTCAGATTATCATTTCTGTTGACTGTGAAATTCACTAGGAGACTGTAGGAACATACATGTGTAGTTGCTCAGGTTTTTCCAGCTTCTCCTTACAATAGGTATTACAATGAGCATCTTTATGCATTAGCCAATTTTTTCCTTTAAAGAAATCTTTTTAAAATTATCTTTAGTATATGAGAACATGTATTTAATATTTGAGAAAATGACAGATGCCATGGAAAAAGGATGCAAGCCAAGCAAAAAGGGTTGTTCAAGGTATAAGTTACCATCTTTAAGATGGTGCTCAGAGTAGGTCTTGCCAAGAAGGCGACAAGATGTTTAAGCAAACCAAAAGGAGATGGGGGAGTGGACCTGAGCTGTCTCCAGGGCAGTAGGAGCCAGGCATTCGCTCTCTCCTTGGGGTGAGCTGCCAAGTCTGTGAGAAGCCCCTCCCAGGGCAGATCCCGTCCATGTGGAAACGACTTTCAGTCTCAGGACTGAAAGGATCTTTAAAAGGGCACTTAGTCCAAACCCACCTGTGATGATTGCATTTTCTCTGAGACCTGGAAGGGGCTTCTCTTCTCCTGGACTTCGTTTTCAAGCCGCCCCTTTGAGCCAGACCCACCTCTCCCTTTGTTATCACCTCTCGTCTTTGCAGCGGCCTGTGCAGTCATATGACTCTGTTTCCTACCGAGGCACACCAAGGTTAAGGACTTGCCCAAGGTCAGACACCCAGGAAGTGGTGGAGTCCCAGGCCTGGGCGCCTTCCTTGCCACCTCACTGCCCGCCCCCACCCCTGTGACTCACCTGTCTCCTCCTCCTCTTTCTAGACCGGCATTCTCCAAGCTAGAGGACTGCTTTGAGGCACTGTCCCTATACCTGGGGGAGCTGGGCATCCCTCTGCCCGCAGAGCTGGAGGAGCTGGACCACACCGTGAGCATGCAGTACGGCCTGATCCGAGACTCGCCTCCCTAGCCCTGGCCCAACCCCCTTCCGGGGGGCATCCCCCAGCCAGCACTGCCCCCTCTGCGCCCATCCCTGCTGCGTGCAGGGCCGGCCAGGCCTCCTGGGGATCGGCAGCTCATTCAGAAGCAGGACTGGCCATCCTCCTACGTCCCTGGAGGCAAGCGGGCACAGCACCAGGGAAACATCCCCAGGGGTCCTGGAGCCCGGTTACTGTCTGTACATCCAACACTCGCCTGGAAGCTGTGAAGAAAACAAGCAAAGCCTGGTCCCTGAGCCAGGAGGAGTCTGTTACTCGTGACCACTCGGGAGCCCCCTGGCAGTGGATTCCCAGAGGCCCTTGCTGACACTAACCAGCACACCCTGGACCTGCTGGGCAGGCTCCTGGGTGCACCGCCGGCGGCCCTGACGGCTCTGGTTCCGCCGGTGCAGGAGGACTTCTCGTGGAGTGTGGCAGAGAGTGCGGCCCTCCGAGGACAGGAAGCGACCGCGGTGCTCCCCGGCCCTGGCGCATCCCGCCCTCCCCTGGGCAGCGTTGAGGGGGTGGGCTGTAAAGCATCTCCTGGTCGGTTTGTGGTGGGTCCGGCCAGGAGTCAGGAGCAGGGCTGGTTTCTGTTCGCCTCCTGGGCCCCGGGGCCACATCGAGGGGGAGCCTCCACTGTGTTCTCACACTGAGCTCCAGACTGGCGGGAAACTCGTGTACGCGCCCGTCCTGCCGGCAGCAAGCGCAGGAGGCGGCCAGGCTGAAAGCAGAGGCCCTGCCCTCTCGAAAGCCCTGCTGTCCTGGCTGCTGTCATTTGCACGCTCAACGTGCGCTTCATCCAGGAGCCCGGGATTGTGCCAGGCTAGCTTTGGAGGACACTGGCTAGTGGCAGGCCCGGGGTGTGGGGTGACCTTGCACCATATTTAACAAGTGAGGAGTGGGTTTGGGACCTTACTGCGGCGTGTGTGGTTGTGCTGGGGGCAGGGGCAGCTGGGTGACGCGGGAGAAGGCGGTTGCCGTTCAGACTGTCTTGGTGGTGTACCTGTGGGGGTGATACGTGAAACGCTGTACATAGACCTGATGAGCTGCGGGACTAGGTGTTGCCTCTGGCCAGTCTCCTTGCTGTCACGGCCCTGCCTAGGTGTGGAGTGTGCGGGCTTTCGCCCTGGGCTCCCGGCAGCAGGGAGCACGGCTGGTGCTGCCTCGGCGGTCCCCGCAGGAGTGGGGGGTGGTGGGCCCAAGCCGGGCCGTGGAGCAGACCAAATAAATTAAGCAGTTAACATGACTTGATGGTGCGGAGAGTGAGAATGTGACTTGCGGCCTGGTCCAGGGAGACGCACGTGGAGGGTGCACTGGCCACTCTGAGGCCCCGGCCACGTGACCCCACAGCAGGGGTTCGTGTGCTCTGACCCCACCTCTGCACACAGACACCAGCCTGCTCCAGGGGACATGTGCAGCCCACCCTCTGCCGTCCGCGCGCTCCCACAGCCAGGCCATCCCGGAGTCCTCTCTGCAGGGCCGGGTGCCACCTTAACGGAGGGAGGAAATGTGTGCTCGCCACCCCTGCCCCTGCTGTGTCCTTCCAAGAGCTCGAGAGGAGACCTGTTTCTTGCGTCTGCACACGGGGCCTGTGGGGTGCCGGCTGGCCCAGGTGATGTGATCTGGCTCGCGAGATCCTAGGCACAGCACAAGTCCACAGACCCAAAGGTGGCTTCTCCCGAAGCTGGCTGGAGTCAGGGCCAAGATCTAGTTCCTGGAAAAACACGCACTAGGGTGCCCCTTGCTGGCAGCCATATAGAGGTGACTGGATACAGGCAGAGGTCACCCTGGGTGTCCTAGAGGCTGAGAACCTGTTGTGAAATCCTTGCTAAAAAGCCCAAAAAAACTGCCATTAGTAGCTTCTGCTGGAGCCCTAGGAGTCACCCTGCGAGGACCTCCCTCGGCCAGAGCAGCTCCTGGGAGCCTATCCCCGCTCTGCACACCCATCCCCCCACCCTGTCTCCAGCCCCTCCCTAACCTCTAAAGAATGCTGAGGGGGAGAGGGTCTGCAGTGACTGGCTGCCCTCTGCCAAGCTGCACAGCTTCCTTCCTGCAGCTTCGACCCGAGAGGCTCTCCTGGTGACAACGCCCGTTACCGACCACCTGGCTGCTGCCCCCGGTGTGGGCCAAGGGGAGGACAGACAGCACAGCGCGCCTGCAGGTGCTGACAAGGTAACCGAACGCTTCCTGGCTTGGAGGAGGAGTGTCCTGACACCCCACAAAAAACTTGGCAATGGGTTTTTTTTTTTAATTTTATTTATGTTGAGTCAAATGCAGAGCAATTTCCTGCGCTTTTATTTGCAGGTGTCAGAATGAGGTATATAAAAACAGGTACACAGAAATGCTTTTATAGAAAAGTAGAAACCGGTAATGTTCTCTTCTGCATCATGACCAACGACAGACCCCCTGAGGTCTAGATCCCCTCAGCAGGTCACTTCTGGGAACAGCCTGCTGGAGAGACAGGGCCCCACAAACCCGGCCTCCGTGAAGGGCGGTGACAGGGCTTTGGGAAGGAAGCTCTAGACCGGTTAGCCCTGCTGAGGCCCCCAAGTGTGCCATCAGGGCCTCGAGGCTGCCCGTCCTCTCGGAACCTGAGCGTCACTCCCTTCGGGCCCGCTCTGTCCAAAAGGCGTCAGGAACCCTCAGAACCCTTCCAGTGGGTCTCTGACTGTCTCCCAAGTTAGGGGTCATGACCCTCATCCTGCTTCCCCACAAGAAGGTGTGGTCCTGAATCCTTCCAACACCGAGGCCCCACCCACAGCATCATTCCTGCAGGTCAGCTGGCTGCTGTCTCAGCCCTGAGGAATGCAGAGCGGTCACTCTGCACCCTGAAGGGAGGCCGTCGGTCAGGGGCGCCCCGGGCCCACTCAGGTCCTGGGAGCTGAGGCGGCTGCAGACACTTCGCCCTCCTCCTCAGTGGAATGTTCAGTGCCGTCCTTCCTTTCGGAACAGGAAGAGCCCCGGGGCCCCAGGCCCGGCCCACAGTCCTCAAGGCACATCACTGCCAGCAGCCTAGCAGCCTCCTTGGATTCTCTTCTCAACCCACAGTGCTGACTTTCGTACAGACTCGTTTCCATTTCTCAGAAATGGTCAGGAGGGGACTGCGTCCCAAATACTGAAAAAACTAAATACGTTTCTAAACACCACCTCTCGACCTGTGAATAACAGCACACGCCACTCAGACCCACAGCGAGCACGTGGGGAGCCTGAGGCTGAGGCCACCTTGCACAATGAAGCACAGGGGAGCTGGGGAAGCCCCCTGTCCGTCCCTGCTTTGGTTCCGGGGCACAGGAAGCCCGTCACAGCGCTGCTGCGGGGGCTGCTGCTATCCCTATCTGTGGGCAAAACCCTGCTCCATGGTATGGAGAGAGAGCCTTGGCAGGACCCTACCCAGCCTCGCTCAGCCCACAGTGCCACCTGCTCCTGTCTTTGGGTTCAAACAGAAAAAGTGGGGGGTTTCAACCACAACAGAAAGTGTAGATCCTCCCAGCTGTGGGGGGCGGGGGGGGTAGGTGGTCCTGCACCAGTGTCTGCAATGGGCTCCTGCCCATCGTGGGGGGGCTCAGGCACCTGGAGTGCCCGCCTGGCCCATGAGGGGGGCACTGCCCTCCTGAAGGTCGACTGGAGTCTGGCTGGCGTGAACCACAATGGTCTTCTCATCCACGATCTCACAGGTGGGGTTGGTGAAGGCAGACAAGGGCAGGGTGATCCGCTGCAGCTCCCGCTCGCACACTTTCTGCTCGTGCTGGGCTTTCAGGTCCTTGCCCCTGGCAGGAGAAGAGGGAAGCATCGGGCTGTGCCGCCTGCACAGTCTGCTCGTAGGCCAGCACCCTGAGACCTGGCAGGGGCTGGCCACAGTCACAGCCAGGCAGGGCTGTTCTGCCAGACTGCCTTAACTCAGCAAGGAGCCCCTAAACATCGTCTGTAAGATAGGGGTGACAGTAGCACTAACCTCACACAGCTGCAGTGGGGCTCAGTGAAGATGGTGGGGACGAAAGAGACCCTTAAAGCAAAATGGAGTTTTGCTTTTTCAGCCCGAGGCACCACAGGACCCAGAAAAACCCTCAGCCCGCACCCATAAAGCTGTCCAGAAAACTGACCTGACCATCCTGTTCTGAGACGCCTCATCCGAAAGTCTCAGAAGGTGTGAGCTCTGGCTGGAAACAGGGACCATCCCCTTCCCAGAAGGTGTGAGCCCTGACTATAAAGAGGGACCACCCCTCCGAGTGCAGTGGGCAAGGAGCCTCTGAGGGCTGCTCAGGTCGACGGGAAACAAGGACACCATGACCATGGGAGCCCTGGGTGTTCATGGGCCTTCTGGCACTTCTCAGGCTGAGGTGTTACCCCATTTTATTCACGTGAAGTGCTCACTCCATGCTGAGGGCTTTACATGCATTACCTCACTTCATTCTGAACCCTAACAGTTAGGTCTTATCGTTCATTTTATAGATGAGGAAGTGAGTCCAGAGATAATGAACTCTCCAAATGACACGGTGGGCTCAAGCCCAAGTCTGTTGGACTCTGGCTCATGCTCAAGAGAAGTTCTGACCTTACCAGGGTCACCCCCTACAAAAAGGATAGGGCAGGGCCTCACCCACCCAGTCTTCCAGCTGCGCATGTCAGGCCCGCCCCACTGGACCGGCCACGCCCACTGCAAGCCAAAGAGTGTGGTGTGTGCCTGGCATACTGCACACCAGAACCCAGGTCAGCATCCTCTAACGGCGATCAGACACGTGGGCTCAGCTGTCAGAGGAAATCTTCCCAGAAGGAGCCCATCCCGAAGAGGCCCTGAAGCAAGCAGCTGATGGATGACCTGGTGCGGCAAACAGGCCTGCCTCAAAGTCCCCAGGGAGACAGCTGAGAGCAGACGGATGACACAGCTATCGCCCAGGGAGGTGCAAAGACAAAGGTTTTTCAGAGACACAACGCTGAGGACACGGGCGCTGGAGGGGAAAGAGCAGGTGCCTCCCAACTGCCTTTAAATCAGCCAGTTCTCTGCCCCTGGCCCAGCCCAGCCTGGGCTGTGTGACACTCGGCCTTGGAGAGCCTTGGTTTCATCATCTGTGAAATGGAAATGATACCTGACTCCAAATATGATGATGAAAGTCAAAGTGGAGTCACTCCGTCATGTCCGCCTCTTTGCGACCCCATGGACTGTACCCTACCAGGCTCCTCCATCCATGGGGTTTTCCAGGCAAGACTACTGAATGGGAAAGCATTTCGAAAACCATGGGACTGCTATCAAGCTCACAAGGGGCTGTTGCAATTTGCCCTGAAGGTGATGTGAGTCACCAGGCAATGTTATTTTAATCTGGGTTCCCACGGAAACTCTCCTACTGGACAGCCAGGGTGAGTGTTGTTTATGTGACCCCCACCACTGCCCTCCGCTCTAGGCATTAAGCTTCATCACCTGTAAAACAGGGAGCTGGACTTGAGAACCTCCAGGGCCCCTGATGTCCTGTGAGATCCCGAGCGTGACGTGGGCCCGCGTCCCCCTGCTCCTCACTGTCGGCACACCTGTGCGCTCATGCCACCCAAGACTTGGAGGGCCAAGTCTCTGCGTGTAAGCCTGCAGCTCCTGCCCATCCTCATCAGGCTCTGCACTGGATGCCCCGAGCCCCCAGAGGGGCTGAGGAGGGCCACGGGGACACGGCTGCCTGGAACAAGCGCACCCCCGCTCACTGCCCGAGATTCGCTCTGCCTCTGGGCACTTCTCAGTTACGGCCACTGCCACGTACAAGAGAACACCTCTACCTCCGGCGTACAACAGAAAACTGCAGTCTGCCCATGTCAGGAGAAACGTGGAAAGTCTGGGTTTAGTTCTATTAAGGAAGAGTCCCTCGGACTGCAAGGAGATCAAAACAGTCAATCATATAGGAAATCAACCCTCAATATTCACTGGAAGGACTGATGCTGAAGCTGAAGCCCCAGTACTGTGGCCACCTGATGTGAAGAGCCAACTCGTTGGAAAAGACCCTGATGCTGGGAAAGACTGAGGGCAGGAGAAGGGGGCGACAGAAGATGAGATGGTTGGATGGCATCTCAACGGACATGAGTTTGAGCAAACTCTGGGAGATAGTGAAGGACAGGGAGGCCTGGTGTGCTGTAATCCACGGGGTTGCAAAGAGACACGACCGAGCAACTGAACAATGAGGGAGCCCACAAACAAGCCAGCAGAGAACCAAAGGCCATTTACAAAAGCAGCAGAGTATGTGCCCAGAGCCTTGTGCCAAGGCCTGAATTTCAAAACCTAAGAGGCTGGAGGAAGCAGGAACTCCTGCTTCCCAAGCACCCCTAAGGTGCCAGGAAATGGCCTTCCCACCTTCCATCCTGAGAAGGGTCACCTGTGCACCGGCTGGATGCTGCACCCTTTATACGTGCGTCATCTTTGTCTCATTTCCACCCAGCACCGCGTGTCATCCACATTTTACAGCCGAAGAAACTGAGACTTTCCTCAACTGCCTCCTTTACCAAGCATCTGGCTGTGGTCAGTCGGGCTGTTGATAATGGTCAGGCTGCATCATACACAAGTCTTGAGGGGGAAAAAAATCAATGTGGATTAATGGGGCAGAGCTGGGCTCGAAGCTCAGCCAAGGGTAAATGCAAGGAGCAGGTGCTGGGACAAGTCCGGATGGCAGTCTCTTCCATTTAGAAGCCTTAAAACACACTCAGCCCTGCATGCCTCCTGCTAACGGCTCCCGTGAGTCCTAGAGGTGCCATGGCGGCCCCCAGCTCCTTCTGGGGTCTCAGAGAGGCCACCAGGATGGCTGCACTGACCGTCAGGCAGCTCAGCCCCTTCTCACCACCTGTGAGGTGGGGGGACAGCCCAGGCTGTTGTCTGACAGCCAAGAAAGAACAAAAGACTCATTCACTAGCTCAGTTCCTCTCCTGGGCAGGCGGAGGAGTTGCTGACTGACAGTTTTCCCCTTGCCTTTTTATCAGAGCCAGAGCACAGACACTCGCTCGGGGCAGGGAACTGCAGGCTGGCCCCCTGAACCAGACAACCAGGACAGAGGCCCGCCAGGCTGAGCCCTCGCCCGCTCCCACCTGCCTCCCTTCCTCCCCTCAGGGGAAGCCCAGTGTCTGCCCGCCCCTCCCGGCCAGGGGAAGACTCCTTCCCACTAGCCTCCTGGCCCTTGAAAGGGTTCAGAGCTTGCAGGAATTCTATTCTGACCGCTCCAGGGTCAGGCCTGGTAGCTGGGCCGGCCAGAAAGCAAGCGTGCACGGAGCTGCTGCCTGTATCTGACATCCTCTTGCTGGGTGACAGAGGCACCCGAGACCTCCTTCAGGCAACAGAGGCTGGCTGCCACATTATTACATAACTCTGGGCCATCGCTCTCGTCCCCGTCAGAAGTGGCACTGTGCCACACTGCTGCTCAGGGCAAGTTCCTCAAGGCAGCCAAGGTCAGGAATACCAACTGTCTGCCCAGACTACACTCATTTCATCGTCACAACAAACCTATGCAGCATCTACTAGGATCTCTGTTTCAGGGACAGGATAGCAGAAGTGGAGAGGCTCCATCATTTATTCACACAGAGGGCGGATTTGGGATCTGAACCTAGTACTGCCTGCGACCACCACCAAATAATACTGTCTTTAGGAAATGTTAGAGCTGGGCGGATCATCGCTAACCTGCCCCATGCTATTCTACAGGTGAGGGAAGCAGAGAAGGTAAATGACTTGTCCACTGTCACACCCAGAACTGCTCACAGTTCCAGAACAAGATCCTGGTTCTTTTGACTTTTAAGCCCAGCTGTTATAGTTTGAAAGTTTCTGTTTTATTTTGAAAGGTTCTGTGCGTGTTCACTCAGTCATGTCTAACTCTTTTGCAACCCCATAGACTACAGTCTGCCAGGCTCCTCAGTCCATGGGATTTCCCAGGCAAGAATGCTTTGCCATTTCCTCCTCCAAGGGATCTTCCCAACCCAGAGATTGAACTTGGGTCTCCTGCATTGGCAGGAGGGGTCTTTACCACTGAGCCACCTGGGCAGCTCGCGACTGTCTTATGCCATCCAAAGCAAATTGGCACGAAGCTCCTGAGCCTTGCTGGACTCTTGGGAGACACTGGCAATCCTTATTGGCCATGTAGCTTGGACACGCTGCTGAACTCCTCTCAGTCTCAGCTCCTCGCTGTGAAATGGTGTAAAAGTGGTCCTTCTAGTGTGGTCCTAAGGCTTTGGTGCTGTCATCAGGGAAGGACACGCAGTGGGTCTTATTGAGAAAGTCCAGGTGACTGTAGTGGTTATTTAACCTGATTGGTGTTCTGCTGTCTACATGTAATAGTTAAGGGTAACCTGGGGTGGGTATGGGTGTGCTGGAGAGGGGACACAGCTCCATGGAACAGACAAGAAAAGGAGGTGCAGAGAAGTGGAAGGACCTGCGCTCAGCAGCACTTTCCAGGACACTGTTCTGTGACTCTGGGGAGAGAGTGGGAGCTGAGCGATCGCCTCCAGCCCACATGCGGTTTCCTGTTGTACAGGCTGTGCTTGGGGCACTTTTGCTGAGGAAAGGGGTGGTCCGATGGTTAGTGATGAGGAGTCTGGTGACTCGGTGCCTCGCCCTGAGATTACAGGAAAGTAAATATAGGCTCTCGGGGTGCTCCCGTGACAGCCTAGAGGAGCAGATCTAGAAGAAAAAGGCGTGGCTTCCTCATCCGGCCTGAGAACTGAGTTTGCGATTAAGGACATTTAACAGTCAGTTCAAGCACCTGGAGGCCTGGACACTGTCACAGGACTGGAGGCAAGCCCAGTACTATCCAGTGTCTGAGGAGGAAATATTTCAACAGCTAGACTCAGCCAACAGGGTTTGGGTCTGAGCTGCGAACTGTAACCAGGACCTCCCCATCACTCCCCCTAACTCCCTGAATTGACCAACAGGTGCCCCTGAACCTGCCCCAGCCACTGTCGCACTGAGGGCAGCAACCTTATGCTAGAGGACAGGAGACCCTCCCAGATCAACATGTCCCCTCTCTGAACCTGTGCTTCCTGAATCACAGATCAGAGAAGTGATGGAGCCTGGAGAGCACAAGTGCAGTGTGCCCACATTTTACAGAAAAGAGAAACAACTATGGTTTACTGACCTCTTTCTTTGGTCCAGGAAGTCAAGAGTCTCAGCGACAGCTATGGCCTGGAGTAGGAAATAGAACCACCCTGCCTAAAGTCACGCAGATTGCTATTCAGTGGCAGGACTGAGACAGCTCCACCAAATGCTAGGTGTGTGACCTCGAACAAGTCTCAGTTTCCTTATCTGTAAATATCATTGACCTTATCAGGGGTGATTGTGAGGACTGAGTTAAAGCACACATATCATTTGAAGCAGTACCTGGCCTTCAGAAATACTGCTGCTAGTACTGTTATTATTCTTACCAATATGTCCCCTTTTCCATATGTAAAATGAGGCTGACTACAACACTCTAGAGACAACTTGACTTTAATACTGGATGACCCGCGGGGGCTGTGGTCACCACTGGAAAACGCAGGCCACCACATCACTTCCTTTATAGGAAGCCTTCACAGACCACAGAAAAGAAATATCACAGATACTCAGGAATGGAAGTCAAAGCCCCTGATTTTTGCCCAACATTTTGTAAATAATCTTCCCAGAGTCAACCAGTGCTGGAAAAATGGGCACAACTCGATTATCATCATGCACTCCAACGCACTTCCTTCCTCCTGTCCTAGAGGAGATCCCACTGCTTACAGCTCAGGACATTTAAGCCCCAACTGCAAAAGCAGTGGCTGGGAACCTTTTCTAGGAGCAGAATTTTATAACTCACAGAAAGAATTCAATCTCCCAGTCCTCGCAATGAGAGCCCAACCTCATTTCTGAAAGGCCACCCAGTTCCACAGCAGACATGCTTCCACACCAGACAGCAGGGAATGTTGGTGTCAAGAGAGCTGGATGTGACTCCAGCCACTCCCAGGCAGTATAATCTTGAGCAAGTTAGTTCACCCTTCTGATGAAGGCCTCCTCACCTATACAATGGGGAATAAGAATCCCTACCTCATCAGGCTTGCTAGGTGAAAAGTAAAGGCACCAAAGATGAAGGTTTGTCCAAGGTCACCTGGTGAAAACTAGAACCAAGTCTTTGCATCCAATACCTCCCTTCCTCTACACGGAAGAATGCCACAAAGGAGTCTGGTTTGATTTTGTGTACCTTCCTCTCCTCTCTGACCAAACCCAGAAAAGAAGCTACTGACCTCTTGTAGGTGTAGCCAAGGACGATTCCAGCTCCAATAACGATGATGATCACCATCATAGTGATGCCCAGCACGTAGCCTGCCAAAGACAGGACACAAGGTCCCGTTAGCACCACCCCAGATAATCAGCAAATATTTCTCCTTGAATTTCACAAGGACAGAGGCGGGAAGTCATACCCAGGGTTCCCAGGTCCTTTTTCTCCTTGGAGTTCATCCGCACCCGCTGGCTGATCCCAATCACTGGCTGCACGGCTGCAGCCTCGCTCCGGGCAGGCAGGGCGTTGGCAGGAGCAAACACCTCATCTCCTCCTGGCACTTCAGCAGCCTCCTCAGTTCCTGTTGTGGAGGTTGGCAAGCCCTGGGAAGTGGTATCTGGAGGTGAAGTGGGAAAACAGCTCTCATCAGACAGGGGCCTGAGTTTGGGGGAAGCAGAGTGGGCCCACCTTAGAATGCACTGTAAACGCTGAAATCAAGACCTAGGGGCAAGATCCGGCCTAAAGGCTGCACCACAGCTGTAACAAGACAAAGAAGGCTATGAGAAAGGGCCTCACCTGCCTCCCAAGTCTTCATATTCTCAAATTCTTGCCATCTTTCAAGGCCCAGCTCAGCTCACCTCCAGGGGTACCCCCTCTATGCCAAAAGGCAATGCGTTACTCCTCTAAACAGCTCACATTTGCTGAACCCACACTTTATGCCAATTTCTATGTTACATGCTCACATATCCCATTTAATCCTAGAGAATCGTCCTTGCTGCCCTGGGAGCCACAAGCTGCACTCTGGAGTCTCAAGAAACTTGGATTTAAATCTGGACCCTGCCACTGCGTTTGGTAAGTCGCTAAACTTCTCTCTGAATCTTAGATCCCCCGAACTGGGTGGAGGGGGGCTGTGAAAGAGTGCCTAGCACACAGCAGACACTACACAAACACCGAGGGGCGAGCTAAGGGCGTGGACCAACGACGCACTTCTCCGGGGCTCTCCCAGAGGCGTTCCCGGCACCGAGCTCGGCCGAGGGGTGGGGCCTAAGCGCCCACGGTTGTTTACTAAGCGCTTGAGGAGAATGAGCTCATTCCGGGCGGCGGCGCCGGCCAATGAGCTTCGGGTCCCGCGGCCTGGAGACAGCCCTGGCCAATCGGACGGCGCGGGGCGGGGCGGGGCGGGGCGGGGCCGGCCGGCGTCGCGCGGCCGCACGTGCGCGGCGGGTGCAGCAGCAGCTCCTGGGAAGTCCTGGGCCCGGGGTTCGGGGCGGGTACCTGGGCAGCGCAGGTCCTCGCAAGGTCGCTTCTCGGGAGCTCCAGCCTCGCGGCTGACGTAGCACCAGGGCCCGCGCGGGTCCTGGTCCGGGTTCCGGCAGTAGCTGTGGTTGCCGGCGCCTGAGAGGGGAGAGAAGGCAGCAGGGGCCCGGGTTGGGACACGGCCGCCGCCCGCCCGCCTGCCCGCCCGCCGCCTGGGACGGGCACTCACCCGACTCTGGGGCAAATGCCAGGCCGCTCTGCGCGTCCAGCCAGTTGAGGCAGCGGTGGCCTGGCGCGGGGGAGGGCTGATCCGCCCGGTACAGGTGGCCGTTATCCCAGAAGCAGCCTAAGAGGAAGAGGAGCCCCCCGACAGGACACTGAGTGGCGGGCAAGGAGCCCGGGCCCACCCCTGCTGTGAGACCCTGCCCTCACGTGGAAAACCCCGCCTGCCTCGCTGGGTTGTTGTGAGGCCGGAAAGAGAAGGGAGGGCGGACGAGTGAAGAGCCCCCAGCCGGTGCCCGGGCCCCTCTGCTCAGTGTTGGCTTTTTTCTTTTCTTTTTTAAGCCGGAACTTGCTCTGGAACTTGTGAACACTTTGGAGGAAGGTGCGGGGGGAGCCCTGGGTTCAGGACCCTCTGTGGAGACGGTGGGAGTTTTGGGTCGGGGGTCGGGGGGAGGCAGGACCCAAAATCCATCCCTGTGTTGTCATTCCATGTTATATAAACTCTGGTGTTCTTGTCTCCGTGGATGTGGCCACAGTTTCACAGGCAGCATTCCCTCCCAAGAGAATCCTACAAAGGCCTTTATATCCAGTCAGGCACAGGAGAGCCTCAAATGGAGGGAACCTGCCTAATAGCTGCCTGGATGTGACTCCAAACTCCCACTCCCCTCAGCAGGAGGCCCTCAGGAAGGGGCTGGGTAAGGAGGGTCAGCGCTCTGGAGACACCCGCAAAGCCCCCCGAAAAGAACAGGACTTGGGAGTGGAGGAGATGAACCCCCAAGTTCCATCCACTCATGAGCCACCGGCAAGAAAAAGAAAAGAGAAAGTGGTTACTTGCCTTTGTTCTTAATGGCAAAGATGGAGCTGCAAGCTCCAGGCAGGGAAAAGAGAAGGAAAAAGCAAAACCAACAAAGCTTTCATGGGACAACAGGAACCTGCTACAAGCTCCGTTTCCTGTCGTCTTCCTGCTTGGGAAATAGGAAGCTTCACCCTTTCTGCCTCATTAAGTTGCTGCAGAAAGGAAAGGTGGTAATCTCACCTCCAGCTCCATAGGCTTCTGCCAGGAGCAGGTTGCTGACGAGGATTGTTCGCACCCAGGCCAACAGCATCCTCACCTCCTTCGTCCTGCAGGTGACTGACCAACCAGAGTCCAGCCGGGGTCCCCCTAGGCGGCGGCTCTGCCTCCTGTTCCCAGCCTGGCAGTCAGACCTGCTCTTGTTATGCGCTTCTGGTAAACAGCCTCTCTTTAGAACTGGGAGCTTCCAGCAAGCTTGCTGCAGCGAGGTGGTTTTGTTTTTTTTTTTTTTTTCCGGCTGAAAGGCGCCCCCTGGGTCCTAAGCCTCCTATGCCATGCTCATCACTTTGCCCTGAGTCAAGAGAGGAACTCAGCCAAGCGGAAAGAGGCAGAAAAGTTCAGGTCATGCTTAGCAGTGGTTCAGCGTGAGACATGCACTGGCTGCATCCCCGGGGCCTTTCTTCTCTTCTGTTTACATTTGTGTGAGTACATAAAGAATAATTTTGTCAAGAGGCATCTCTGGGGGTTGGGGGCTCAGGGAGTTTGGAATTACAGTCAGTAAGGCAGAACCACTTAGGGAGAACATGTTAGTTACACAACTTGGAGAACTCGAGACTGGATGGGACACAGATAAGAGAATCCAGGTGGAAGCAGCTCTTTATACCCATTCTTGAAAAAAAGAAAAGGGCCTTGTGGTTTATACATGTTTATAAACACTGACTTTTTTTAAAACAGTGTAACTTTGCCAGAGTCATATCAGTCACATTCTTTTGCTTCTCTTTGGGGCTTGGGGGCCTCATATATAGTAGGCGCCCACTAGGGGTCTCTTTAGTTGGAAACACATGTCCTGCAGACATTGGGACATTTGCACAGCTATGTTTAATAGCCTGGCCTTTGTACCAGCCATGAATTCATACAGAGGAAGTTAAGGAAAATGGTTGCCCTTTCCCACCCCCACCCTGTGGGAAATCCATCTGCAGCGATTTATATCCATTATTAAACCTCACCACATCCACACGCCTGAGACCTTTTGGAGTTAGGCAAGACGGCCCTCTTCCTGTCTGGCTGGCAGCGCCTGTTCCCAGGCAGGCTCAATAAACTGAGGGATGGAGCAGAGTGATTCGCCAAGACTACCTTGTGACTCAGGCGAATCTCAAAATAGAAATGGGAGATGGTTTCCATCTGAGGGCTTGCATCTTGCAGGCAGTAATTTAGGGAGGAGGGGAACAAAAAAACTTTACTACATAAGTTGCAGAGTTTTCTCAAGGAAGAAAGCTAATATTAAGCCTAGTAATGTGAAGTGAATTTGAATTCACTTCACTCAGACATGGCAAGGGCAGAGGGATGAATTGAGTTTACTCTTTGTAGAAGTTTGGTGACAGTGGGTTCTGTCCATCCATCAGATAAGACACATTGCTTTGTCTTTGCAGTTGCTCTCCCATCTCTACACAAGCTTCTGGTACTCTTGACACCCGATTTGGGAGTCTTGTCTGGGAATAACAGACATAAATACACAGATATGCCAAATTCTTATTCTTTAATAATTCTAACATATTCAGGGATCTTTTTTAAACACTTTTAATTAATTTTACAAAAATTTTAAGACCCTCCTACAAGTACATGTTAGATAAGGTTCTGTATACTGAAATACTGAGAAGATATCTGTGAACAAAATATTTGAAATAGCTGCCTTCATGGAGCTTACATTCTAGTTTAAAAAGACAAATGACAAATCTGTAAAAATGTCAGGTGGTCTTAAGTGTTATGAAAAAAGTGAAACTGGGTAAGAGAGGGAGAGTAAGGAGGTGGTACCTCACTTGCTGAAGAAAACTTGCACTGTTTTCAAGGAGGATATTTTTACAGGGAAAAGGCTGAAGGGGGAAGTTCTTTGCTCAGTTTTCCTTGTGAGTCCTAAGTCCTCTTACACCACTGCAAGAGATGTATGATACATATTTTATTTCATTACATACACTGTATCAGCTTGGGAAAATGAGAATGCAGTTCTGATTTCAGAGTAGCAGGCGGTTCTTGTGGATTGATCCCTCAGCATCTCATCTGTTGCCTTTGTAAGCAGTGAGCTCTCAGTTATTGTCTGATGAGATGCTCCTCCCTGGACTCTGAAGGGCTGCTTCCGCCGGATCATAATACCTTACCCCCTGATCACAGTAGAGGCAGCTGTGCTCAGGCCGGCACTCGCACCACTTTCAGAATATCCACTGTGCCCGTAGACGACTGCCAGGACTTCCTCCTCAGGAGCCGAAAGCTGCTTTACCTGGTGCTCTTATCATCTAATTTCTCCTTTTAAAAAACTGCTGTCTACCCTAACTTACACACCTTGATACACAGCAAAACCATGTTTTAGTGTTGTGCAACTTATCTGGAACAGTACCGCCTGAAAGAGATAAAAAACAGGCCAGAAGAGATTTCTTTCAGCTTAGTCATCTCTGCTTTTTCTCTCTTGTAACTAAGACATTTATCAGGGTGATTTGATTTTTTTTGAGACTGACAGACTTGTTTCTCAGTCCTTCAAAGGCATATTCTATTATAATAGGCTCAGTGCCTCCCTTCCTCGGGGAAATCAGATTTAGTTCAGAGATGTGCCTGTCATCATCACTGATGATGTCTTGTTTTTTTCCTTAGGATCCAAATTTGAATTTTGCTTCATGTATTGGTGCAATATTGGTCATATTTTATGGCCTATAGATATTCCAAACTTCAGATTTCTTCTGGAAGTATTACTACAATAATAATGTGATATAGCACTGCCCAAAATAGTCACTTTGCATTGTTTATTTCCTGAAGACAACATTGTGAAATACAATATATTTTACTAACTATTCCAGGGATGTTTAACTATTGGTTTCATGTTAAATCGTTGCTAATCCAGAGAGACAAGGCTATCAAATTACCTCAGAAGGGAGCCTCCAGAGCATTTCCCAAGAAGGATGGGCAGTTTGCTTTGAACTTAGCTCTAAGAAAGACTTCAATCTGTTAAAAGGCTTAAGAATCCTTTTTGTCAGCGAAAGGGCCAAGATGTTGGTCAAAAAAGTCTGTGATGAGACCTTATGAGTTGACTCCAGATATTCTCTCCATATGATGTGTTGTCAAAGGGGCCGTAAGTACTTACCTGGAGACCCAGTGGTTAAGACTGCAGGATTCTGCTGCAGGGGACACGGGTTTGATATTTATCCCTGGTTGGGGAACTAAGATCCTGTATGCCTTGCAGCACGGCCAGAAAGGAAAAAAGTGACCACTGAGATTTTGCTGAGAGGTGTTTGGATATACAGTCACAAACTGAGCAGGGGGTGATTTTATGAAGCTTGTTAAGGAAATAATAGTCCAGTCAAAAGAGCTAAACTCCAAGGGTGTTTCTAAAGTTTGGCCTTTGGTGAGTTAGGTTATGTACATTTTGGTACATGACTAAGTGTTCAGCAAACCTTTGAAACAAAGGGGAAAAGCAGAGTATGTGAAGGAAAGAGTCTAATAAGCCCACAGAGGTAGTAATTTTTTAAGGGTAAGCAATAAAACATCCAAGGGCTTCCATGGTGGCTCAGTGGTAAAGACCCACCTGGCCAATGCAGGAGATGCGGGTTCAGTCCTTGTGTTGGGAAGATCCCCCTCCAGTAGGAAATGGCAACTCGCTCCAGTGTTCAGTCCTGGAAAATCCCATGGACAGAGGGGCCTCGAGGACTATTGGGTTGCAAAGAGTGGGACACAACTGAGTGACTGAACAACAAATTACTTAGCATATGTAATCTCACGTGTCCTTAGCCTCTCACTGTAGGGGTTGAGAATACAAACACAGACGTCAGGATTCAAGTCCCAGCTCTTATCACTAGCTACTAGTAGGGAAGCTACTAAACTCCCTGACTCAGTCTCCTTACATGGGAGAGCGAGAGAAAAACAGTGCCTGTACCACTGAGTTGTTGACGTTCATGAAGCCTTGACTAATCGTCAGTTTCTAATAAATGTGTCCGTTTTTGTGTCACTAACCTCTGACTTAGAAGTACTGAGTACATTTGCTGTCTTTCAGAAAATTACCATCTGGTTATAAAGATCAGGCTAACACGTGTGAAAATAAAAATAGTATAGGGGCATTTGTAAGTAGGTGTTAAAGAGCATGACAGGAGGAAAAGGAGGCAACTGAGGATGAGATGGTTGGATAGCATCACAGACTCAGTGGACATGAGTTTGAGCAAACTCTGGGAGACAGTGGAGGACAGAGGAGCCTGGCATGCTGCAGTCCATGGAGTCGCAAAGAATCAGACACATCTTTGCAACTAACAGCAACAACAAAGTATGACACAGACAATAAAGGTTTGTCAGTTCAGTGATTATTAAGTGCTGTTCACAGACGGGCACTGAGCTGAGTGCTGAGGATACAACAGTGACCCTACCAGGTCCTTGTTCTCGAGAAGTTCACAACCTTGTGATAGATCAGGTGTCAGTGGACAGGCAGAAGAGTGCAGAGAGGGACTCCCCTGATGCTCCAGTGGCAGAGATTCCATGCTTCCAATGCAGGGGGCCTGGGCTTGATCCCTGGTCAGGGAACTAGATCCTACATGCCTCAACCAAAGACTTTGCATGCCACAACTAAAGATCCCTCATGCTACAAAGAAGACTGAAGATCCTGTGTGCTGCAACTAAGACCCAGCGAAGCCAAATAAATGTTTTTTTAAAAAACGCAGAGATGCCAACACTACTCTAGAGATTTCTGCTACTGGGACTCACAGGAGAGGCGTGTGGTCTAGTTTTAAGAGGTCAGAAAAGGCTTATCAGAAAAAGTAAAATCTGAAAGGGAAAGATCCATGTTCTCAGCAGGTCAGAGGATGTACAGAAGCCTGGAAGGGGGCCTGTCGCCGTGGTCGGTGGAGCCTCCAGGGAGGTGATAAAAGTGAGTCCAAGAAGCCAACAAGTGAAGTCAAAGAGAGAAGCATTGACCAGGTTCTGGAGGTTCCCGAATGTGGGCGTTATCCTGAAGACGAGGCCGTTGCAGTCAGATTTGTGTTTTAGTGAGATGACTTGGGCCACGGCATGCAGGATCGGAGGAAGCCGAGGCAGAGTTGGAGACCTGGAGGAGGCCGTCTCAGTGAC